ACAGACCTGGGGGATCTTGGCAGTTTCCACATGGATTGAGGTTGCTGAGAAAACCTGGAGTGGGTAGGAGCTTTAAAAATGCTGGTTTTCCAACCCAGAAAATTAATAGGCAACCAACGGAATGGGAAAAGATAGTTGCAAATGACATATCAGATAAAGGGTTAATATCCAGAATCTATAAGGAACTCACCAAACTACACGCCCGAAAAACAAACAACCCAGTGAAGAAATGGGCAGAAGACATGAACAGACACTTCTCCAAAGAGGACATCCAGACGGCCAACAGACACATGAAACGATGCTCAGCATCCCTCCTCATCAGGGAAATACAAATCAAAACCACACTGAGATACCACCTCACGCCAGTCAGAGTGGCTAAAATGAGCAAATCAGAGAACTCTAGATGCTGGCGAGGATGTGGAGAAACGGGCACCCTCCTACACTGTTGGTGGGAATGTAAACTGGTACAGCCCCTCTGGAAAACAGTGTGGAGGTTCCTCAGGAAACTAACAATAGAACTCCCTTATGACCCAGCAATAGCACTGCTAGGAATTTACCCAAGGGATACAGAAATGCTGAGGCATAGGAGCACATGAACCCCAATGTTCATAGCAGCACTCTCCACAATAGCTAAAACATGGAAAGAGCCTAAGTGTCCATCAACAGATGAATGGATCAAGAAGATGTGGTTTATCTATACGATGGAATACTACATGGCAATGAGAAACAATGAAATCTGGCCATGTGTAGCAACATGGATGGACCTTGAGGGTGTTATGCTGAGCGAAATAAGTCAGGCAGAGAAGGACAAATATCATATGTTTGCACGTATAGGAGGATTAGGAGGAACTTGACGGAGGAACAAGGGGGAGAAGAAGGGCGGAAATGGTGGGGGAAAGGGAGAGAGGCAAACCATGAGAGACTCTTGAATGCTGACAAAAACTGAGGACTGATGGATGTGGGGGGGAGGGGGGGATGGGCATGGAGGAGGGCACTTTGGGGATGAGCACTGAGTGTTATGTAGAAACTAATTTGACAATAAACTATTTGTAAAAAAAAAGAAAAAAATTAAAAAATAATAAAAAAAAAAAGAATCCTACTCCAGCTTAAGGCCTGAAGCAAAGAGGCATCAGACATGATTATTTCATTATAGATCTCTAAAATAATCTAATTAAACTCCATGAAAACTCAAAAAAAAAATGCTGGTTTTCACCTGCCATGTCTTATGTAGCTTCAGTCAATGTCAAAGCAGAAGATGCCCAGAGCACATCACTCGGTACCCAAGTGGTACCCGCTGGGTAGGCCTGCCTGTGTTTGAGATTTGTCCCTCTCTCATGGCCCCCCATGTGAGCACAGTGAACCTGAGTGCCTGTGCCTTTATACATTGAGTTTCTGGTTCCTGTTTACTGCTAATAGTGCTTCGAAGAAATGAATGTATTAAGCTCTTCTTAGAAGAATGGCATCAAGATTGTATTATGCTGATGGAAGGCAGAAAAGAAATCAGTGCTTTTCTCTAGGCCCTATGGTCTAAAAGGGTAAATTTAATTTATTAAGTGTGTCTGTGAAGCAAAAGCTCTGGCAATGTGATTCCAGTGCTGATTCTGGGGATAGCAGTGATATAGAGTACTGATTCTCACTGGACAAGGTGAACCTGGCAGGCAGGCACTTTAAGACCAGAGGATCTGAAGGAATTTGGGATGGATATAAAAAAAAATTAATACATTTTTTAAAAAAGGAAAAAAGAATAGTTTCATAAACATTGAAAACGGACACAACAATAGAGAAAGGACATTCTTGATGTCCTGGGTATTGGGTGGGATTGCATCAAAGTGGAACTACTTCTGGACGGACGTGTTTGGACCCAATGGTGGGGCTTTAGCTCTGAAGGGCCTCCCTCGGGGGTTCAATGAAAATGCCCCCAGGAGCCAGGCTGGACATAATGCAACAAGGAGTAGTGGAGCCTGGGGAGACTGGTCTGTAGGTCAACTCTAAAGAATTATTCCCCAGTGGGAACATGGAGCTGGAAATCGAATTTCTGTTCTAATATGACACTTCTGATGTTAAAGAACCACGTGGGTGGCCATTTTGCAACCTTTGACCTTAGAAGAAGGCCAGGGAGATACTTGCTTTGTATGTGCAAGGAGGCCAGAGGGGTCCTCTGGCAATGGGGTGCTGGACTCCTTCAACTCTGGCCACCTCCCTTGAGTTTTCAAGAGAGAAGGGCTCACAGCTTTGGGGGACCTGTGAGATATACTCTTCTCCTCTAAGCCTTCTGTCTTCCCCTTCCAATTCTAAGTGATCCTAGAATTCCATTCTTGAGCTTGCACTTCTTCGTCTCTTCCAGAAAGCATCTTCCAGCTCTTCCATTGGGTTGAAATATACATTTAAAGCATTATGGAAATGACTGTTGTAAGTATGGTAGAATCCAGGCATATCTTAAAAGTCTTTCAACAGTCTTTTAGTCTCATGACATTCCTGTCCCCCAAAGGTCAGAGGGTTATGGAATGTATGTTAGGTGGGTCCCACATGGAAAGAAAAAAAAGAAAACTGAATTCCAATCAGAGATTGGGAATTGCTGCTCTCAGCACAAAAGGAGTTTTCTCATTATAAAAGTTTCCATTGCAAGGTTTCATCACCATGTTCTTGTTGAATTTACAATAAGATTTAGTTTGTAAATCAATTTGATCTACACATAATTTTCAGGAAAACATCAGCAGCATAAATTGAGGTGCACCTGCTCTTCATACCATTTTTTTCTCACTGTGTTTTTCATTTTCCACTTTGTTCTGTCTGTGTCGTCTTTAAATATCCCTGTGTTTTCATTTCTGCAGCTCTAGGAGCCTCCATAGCAAGCCCACCTATTGAAGGTAGGGAGCTCAGGTGGCCCAAAACACTCTCCATAAATGGATAATAATTCCTATTCCTTTAATATATACCAGTTGATGTTGAGAGGAGGTGACCAAGAAAAAGTGGGGGATGATGGGATGATCTGGCATCTACATCTGTATAGCTGATACAGATGTGTCAGCTGGAAAAAATAGAGTTCATTAAAAAGAAAAACACATAATGAAAGTCTCTGGTCACCAAGTTTTCTCATCTAAGCTTTTCATCCATAATGTGGCAGAGTGAGAGACATGCCTTAGGGTCCTGGCTTTGATGTTTACTAACTGTGGGACTTTCCTGAAGCATTCCCCTTGTCTATAAAATGGGAACATCATGATGGTGTAGAGAGTTGTTGAAGATGAAATGAATGATGTATGCAAAGCCAAAGTCACATCCACCTCCTAGTACTCGTTTGATAAATGTTAGTTCCTTTTTTTATTTTCCTATAAGTGAATTCATGGTTAAAGGAATTACTTTAGAGAAGTAATATCTGGGGTTTTTGGGTGGCTCAAACAGTTAAGCATTCGACTTCAGCTCAGGTCAAGATCTCATAGTCTGTGAGTTCAAGCCCCTCATGGGGCTCTGTGCTGTCAGCTCAGAGCCTGGAGCCTTCTTCAGATTCTGTGTGTGGATCTCTCTCTCTGCCCTCCCCCTGCTCACCCTCTGTCTCTCTCTCTCTCTCTCTTCCTCAAAAAGAAACATTTTTTTAAAAAAAGAAGTAATTTCTATTTAGAAGGACCGGGAGCTGACGCTTAGAACTTAAGAAATCTACCATATTTCATTTTAAGATACAAAGATTAAAGCAATATTTTAACATTTCCAGGGGCGCCTAGGTGTCTCAGTTGGTTAAGTGTCTGACTTCGGCTCACGTCATGATCTCACGGTTTGTGGGCTCGAGCCCCGTGCCGGGCTCTGTGCTGACAGCTAGTTCAGAGCCTAGAGCCTGCTTCAGATTCTGTGTCTCCCTCTCTCTCTGACCCTCCCCTGCTCATGCTGTCTCTCTTTCTCTCAGAAATAAATTAAAAAAAAAAAAAAAACATTAATTTTTTTTAAATTTCCAAAATTAAGAAGAGTCGTTACAATTGATGGGTTTATAAGGCTATAATTGGAATTATTTGTTTTCCTTCTTGGTGGTACATAAAACAGTGGTCCTTCTTATTGACGACAACTTAGATTCAACTCCAATACTTAGATTAGAGTATTTATATTTTTAAAGATGAGCCTAGTAAACATTTCATGTGTAATGCATAACTTCTTCTCCTTCCTTTTCTTCCTTGTCTTCATTCTCTGCTCTCTTCTTCCTCTTTATGTTCTTATTAACAGCTTTATTGAGGCATATTTCATAGGGCATACAATTTACCCATTTAAATCGTTCAGTGGTTTTTGGTATATTCACAGAGTTGTACAACCATCACCACAATCTAATTCTAGAACATTTTCAACACCCCCGAAGAAACCCTGTATCCATCATCAGTCACTTCCCCTTTCCTGCTGTCAATCTGCCCAACCCGAGGCAACTGCCAATCTACTTTCTGTCTCTTTGGATTAGCCTATTCTGAACATTTCACATAAATAGAATCTTAGACTATGTGGCCTTCTGTGCCTGGCTTCTTTCATTTAGCATAATGTTTTCAAGGTTCATCCATGTTATAGCATGAATCAGTACCTCATCCAAATTATATTCCAGTCTATGCATATGCCAGATTTTGCTTCTCCATTCATCAGTTGATGGGCACTTAGATTAATTACACTTTTTGTCTATTATGGATTATGTTTCTATGAACATTTGTGTACAGGGTTTTGTGTGGATGTATGATTTTCATTCCTTTTGAGTATATATCCAGCAGTGGGATTACTGGATTATATGATGTGTTCGTCAGCCTGGGCTGTCATAACAAAATATACTGGATGGATTAAATGGCAAGTACAAGATCAAAGTGCTAACATGGTGGGCTTTTAGTGAGAGCCGTCTTCTTGGCTTGCAGAACTTCTCCCTGTGTTTTCACCCGGCAAACTCTCTTGTGTCCATTTTTATGAGGGCACTAATCTCATTGTGACAGCTCCACCCTCATGACATCATCTAAACCTCATTATGTCCCAAAGGCCCCTTCCAAACACCATCACATTGGAGTTTTGGACTTCAACCTAAGAGTTTTGGAGAGTCACAATTCAGTCTATGGTATGCTATTTCTGTGTTTAACATTTGGAATAACTTTAAGCTTCTTTCATTATGAGCTGTGTTCTGGATCCAGTTTTTATAGTAATCCTTATGAGTTTACTGTGAGGTAGTGACTCTGTAGTTTACAGATGCAAACACCGTGGCCATTCATTTATTCATTCAATGGATACTTAATTACTTGATCAGTGCTGGCTGCTGTAGTAAATCAGCAAGCCAGTAAATGTAATCAGGGGGCATTAATAATACAGTGGGAGAGACAGGCAAAAAATAAAAAGCAAAATAAAACAAACATGAATATTAAAAGCCAATTTTAAGCTGTAATCATACTCTGAAGTGAAGAGAGGACACCAGTCACAGATAGTGGTGGCTTGAATGAATGGGTGGTAAAGCAGAGAAATTAATGAGAAATACATTTTGGGCAAGACTCACTGGTGAGCTAGGTGTGGTGTGAAAGGAAAGAAGGAATCATGGAACCCTGTAGGTGTTTGGCTTGAATAACAGGTTGAGGGTGCCGCCATTTCCTGAGAAGGGAAGGGCTGCATTGGAAAGTATGTTGTTGGGTGAGAAAGTAGGATTTTGTGGATGTGTTAAATTTGAGAAGTCTGTGAGACATGGAAGAAGAGATGTCAAGAGGAAGTTAGAGAGTCCAGAACTTGGAAGAGAGTCTGGGCTGGTGTTAACTTTCAGGAAATATAAAGATGATTTTGAACTCATGGGAATGGATTGCATTATTTAGGGGAAAGAGGAGAAAGTGAACAGGGCTAAGGGAGGAGCATCTCTAACATGTGGACACTGGGAAAGTAGGAGAAGACATGGGAAACAGAACGTGCAATGGAAGATGGATGAGCAAGTGTATATTTTGATGCCAGTGCTCCGGTGGTGGGGGAGAGATGGCAAGAGCCACAGAGACAGGACAGAGCTGACAGAGCATCTATGAAGAGCATGGCCTTTTGTGGGAGGAGGAAGACTGGCTCCAAGGAATGAGAGGCACTGAGGAGAGGCCAGTGGCTGCCAGTGCAGGCTTGGAGGGCTGCTGAGAGAAAAAGGGGTGGAACTTGACCTGATTTTGCATAGTATTCTTTCTAATAACATTATGAAGCAAGGCCACAGGCTGAGCATGATGGTGCACAAAAAGGCATGGGAGGTTAGAGGAGAAGAGAAGCTATGAAATCATGGCCTTGGGGAATTAGAAAGCAAATGAATTCAAGAAAAATAGCAGCTGGCCAGTCAGCCTTGAGTGTCAGTTCGCAGTGTGAGATCATGAATTTAGAGTAAGAGTGGTGATTTCAGTTGTGTGATTTTATCCAGGGGCTGCTACTCAAGGACTGGGAGGGAGCAGAGGAAGAGGAAGAAGAGTCCAGTACATCATGGGGAGACCTTTGTTAGGGATGGAGGGTGGGGACCGAGGGGTGGTGATAATGCTGGGCTGGGGGCATCAGGCTGGACAAGGAGGGTTGGGAGGTGGGGGGCAGGGAGAAAATGATGGCTAGAGGAGTGGTTGATGATTTGGAGGTTTCCTGGAGGCCCAAGAATGACGCCAGAAGGGACCTCTTGAGCAGGTCACCCCACTGGGTAAGAGACTGTGGTTGAAGAGCTGGCTGTTTGAGGTGGAGATAGCAGATACTTTGCAGTTGCTGGGACTGACCAGGTCCAGAGTGTGACTGTGGAAGCAGTGGATGGCATGCCGTGGGGGGATAGGTCACAGAAAATTAACAGAACAAGAAACCAAGAGTCCAGCGTTCCTGTGGTTCATCAATGTCACAATTATCAAAAGGTGATAGGAGGTGGAGAGCAGGCGGAAGACTGGGAACTGGGAACTGGATCCCCAGCCATAATCATTAGGCCCACTTGGAATTGTGTGTGTGGTTCTCACATCCTGATTACTATTTTGAATTTGAAATTGATGTGTGGGAATGAAAGTTTCAGAGATTCAAGACTGTCCCCTGTAGCTCCTGCTTTATGTTTTAAAGATGATTGTTTCTGTGATCTGTTCTCACAAGTACCTTCTTCATGTATCCTATGCTGCTGCCTTCAATTAGCACAGAGCATGGGCATGGAGGAGTAGATTAATGTGATAAAGATGAATAAGAAGTCCAAGCCTAGATGCTGGCAGCCACTTTCCAGGTCTTTAACCTTAGCTGCCTTTCCCCCACATGCAGAATGAAAGATGTGCTTCCTCTTCACAGGGTACCCTGTGAATTATACCGCATGGTGACACATCATAATTGTATCATTGCACGTCATAACAATGGGATTTCAACAGTTATTACTGAACATTCTAATTATGTGATTACTCAGTCTTTCACCAATTATGTAATTAGATTTAATTATACCAATTGCACAAATAAACCATCGTCAACTACGAATTACTTAAAATAAAATCCAGAACTATGCATATGTTGGCAATTGCCCCGAAAACAAGAATACAAAACAAGAAAGGAGGAAGGCTTATGAAACCGATTAGCAAGTGAAAGGAATATTATGATCTGGACAGATCTTTAAGTATCATGGCAGGGGATCTGGAAGTTTCCTGTCAGTTTTCTGTCCAACAGAGCATGGTGGGAAGAATTGAGGGTGTCAAAGTCAAGAATACTGATGCACCACTGTCATGCCTGGAAGAGCAGATTGCCCTTATTTCCTTAATAAGGAAGGGGAGAGAGAAGGAGTGAGAAAAGAACAAGAGATATAGATGAGAGAGGGAGGAAGGCAAGGAGGGATGAGGAGAGAGGGAGTGGAGAAAAGAGGGGAGAGGGGATGGGAAGGGGAAAGCTGGAAGAGGAGGAGGAAGAGAACAAGTTTGACATTTAGTAATTATAAGTAGTACAGTATCATTTAATATGGAGCATAGAATCCATGCTAAGTGAATTCAGATTTTTTATTTGAACTTTAATCCTTATCTGACCCACTCTGACTTTTTCTTTCTTTAAAATTTTAAAATGTTTGGGTTTTTTTTTTGTTTATATTTTTTGGGGGGATGGGCAGGGGAGGGGCAGAGAGAGAGGGAGACGGAATCTGAAGCAGGCTCCAGACTCCAAGCTGTCAGCACAGAGCCCGACACAGGGCTCAAACTCATGAACTTGAGATCATGACATGAGCTGAAGTTGGACACTTAACCGACTGAGTCACCCAGGCACCCCCACCCCAGACTTTTTCTTTCCTTTATCCATGATTTAGTTCCCCAAACTCCTTCTGAGGTTGTTATTTGAAGCTAGAACTTTAGGACCAGGCACTTACCATGCTCAAGACCAAATAGAGAAACCCAGCATTTGGAACAGGGAATAAATGCCATCTTCACCATGGTGCCTCATGCGCATTGTCCTTGGTTTTGGGTGGTTGTGAACTGGGGTGCCTGTGAGAACTTGGGGCTGTATCACAGGGACCAGTTGTTTCCCTGGAGACATCGCAGAGGGGAGGTGTTGTCTGGGAGCAGGATTTCTCCACCTCAGGTCTCAGAGCCAGAATCGAGAACAGGGGTTACTGCATGGTTTTCTTGGCTCTTCTGTGCCTGGGAGAAGGGCTACCCTGGTGTTTCTGAGGAGGAGAGGCAGAGATCACTCTGGGGAGGTGGGACCGTGCATGCATCTGGGAGAGTGGGCCTGCCGCATTTGTGCTCTTACAAAGAGATATAATTGGTAGGTGCCATTTAAGCACATATATACTTAGGGAAAATTACCCGCTGGGCTTGGCCGAGGAACCACTGAGCACCAGAATTGCTCAGCATCTGTCCCAGGATCCTACAGCAGATGACAGGATGAGGATTACTTCAAAAGTACACATAATGGCTGGTGTGAGTACTTAACACTGCTATAAAAATAAGTCTCCGTGCTGTTGAGGGTCAGGTTGGGGGTTTAGAGTACTTGGTTAGCTTTTGCCTGTATATTAAGAATGAAAAAGGTGCATTGCTGCAATAAACATGAGGGAAAAAGTGCTTTTAAATCTAAAATGAAGGCATGTTAATGCCTTCTCTTCTCCTGTGGGTTTGTATGTGGAAGCCCCTGAGATGGACAGTGGAAGCCAATGGACCTTAACCTATATGCACCTATCTTTCAGTTTCTCCATGGCTCCAGGACTGTATTTCACTGTTTGCTCTATTATGATGGACATTCATTCCTGCATGGAGGTTTAGTGCCTATTGTGGCCAACCCTCAGCTATGGAAGAGGGTGCCAAAGGTTGGGTGGTCCAGTCGTGTTGGGAATTTGAGCAAGGGGATTCTGTGAAACTGGAACGAAGAGAGGAGAGTTGGGCTGGAACTCTGTAGCCCAAATATCTCTCTCTTTCTTCATGTCCCCTGATCCATCAGATCGAGTAAGATTAAGCCAGTGTTTATTAGCAGGTTTGCAACAGCACTGAATTTCACTCTCCACTTCTCTTGTCAGAAACTTGGAGCATGTAAAACAGAAGATGTGGTGGTATTAAGCAGCCAGAGCCATTTTCTAAATGAGCGCAAAAGAAGCCTAAGCAGTTTACACAAACAAGTCAACTCGCTGAGCTGCTGTAATCTGCATTTGAGATTCTTAGCCCAGGGCTGGCCACTCCTGGCTTGCTCTTTTAAACAAAATGCCAATGCAAAGATTAAAGTGGAATGTACTTATGCATAAAGGCACAAGCTGGAACTGACATCACAGTCTTACAGGGGCACTTCCTCACTTAAGCATCTCCAGTATGCATGCAATCCTGGCTATAATAAGCTCAAGGAAAGAGATTCTACAAAATGTGTCTTACAAGTATACAGAGCACCACACAACTTGAAAAGTTGTCAGCAAAGGTGGGCGAGGAGGGCTGCCACGTGGCCAGTCACCAGGAAGCAGCCATTCCTTCAGCCAATGTTATCAGATGTTCATGAGGTCAGGGCCTGGCTCAGCTAGCTATAATTAAGGGATTCTGGCTTTAGCTCTAGTTTGCTCTCTCTAGGCCTATAAGCAGTTTCTATATTTATTGAGAACTTACTATGTGCAAAGATAAACCCTTTACAAACTTATCTTATTATTCTACTCAGTAGCACAACTATATTTTTCTCCATTTGACTGATGTAGAAGGGGAGCCTCAGAAAGCTTAAAGAACTTGCCTGAGGTCACACAGTTACTAATTGGGATCAGAATTTAAGCCCCTGGTCTGAATGCAGAGTCCTTTTTCTTAACTCCAAAATTATACATTCTGTCATATGCCAATATGTATGGAGTCCTGCACCATGTCCTCCTTGTCAGCACAGTTGAAGTGTGGGAGATTTGGATAAGGGGGCTCAAATTTATTTAGGGGCATTCCTTTGTTGATATGCGTAGTAAGGAGAGCTTTGGATTAACATGGAACAGGCTGTCAGTTTCTTATTCGCATGACCCAGAAAAGCAATTGACAGAAAAATGTTCTGTTTTGCCTTCAAGTGAGGTTGGAAGTATATGGTTAAGTGTAAGTCAAAAATTAGATGTAAAACACCCTTCCAGGTGCATTTATTATAGAATATCAAATTATCAAGGGACTCCTTATGTTGGAATAAGAGATGAAAATCCTTTGATGTGGGTATATAAGTCGTATATATGTAAGAACTGCAGTGAGGGCAAGCTCATGCTAACGATCATGGCTTGATGAGAGAAACATGAAAGACTAGGTCCTTGTTTGCTTTTATACCTTCCCTTGATCCTTCATTTATTTTTGAAATTCATTTAGCAAAGATTATTGAGTACTTACCATGTCCCAGGCACCAGGTTCGGCTCTGGGGAAGCAATAAACAAGGCACGTGGATTTTCTGCTGTAATGGAACTTGCATGCCAGGGGAGGTGGACGAACCCTTGGGGATTTGGAGGAACAGAAAGAAGGGGAGTGTGACTGGCGCGTAGTGGGCAAGAGCGAGAGTGATGTGCAGAACCGAAGCTTCTCCAGAAGTGGAAGAGATCCAGTTTTCAGTGAGACCTACCCAAGAGCAGACAGAAGCTTGGTGTGTGGTGTTACATTTAACAACAATATCAGCAGGTAGCAGTTAATGAGCCCTTACTAGGTGCCAGCAACCTAAGCATTTGTCTTATTTTAACTCATTTAAACATCACGACTCCACTCCAGGAATTTTAAAACACCTCTACTAAGTTGAAAAACAATGAATTCAGTGTCAGGTTGATCATTTTGAAAACCCTTTAACTATTCAGTGAGTTAGGACACAATGACATTAAATTATTTTTTTCTGGTTTCAGTGATGATGTTGTTCTAATGTAATTGCATTAGCACTAATAGTTAAAAACTAATAATTTTTTAACTGAGAAAAGTATTTATATATTTGATGAGATTATTTTTAAGCTTTAAATTTAAAGCTTGAATTTGGTGAAACTGGCTCATTAGCAAATAGGTGCATTGAATGGCTTTATTTCGCTCTGTTCACACTATGATATCATGTTGCTCATAGATTCATCTGAGCACAAGTGGTGCTTTGATGCATACAATTGTGTAGCAACTCATAATAAACAAATATTATGGCATCTTTGCTTCTCTACTATTAGCTCACACAGAACTACAGATAGTCTTTTTAGAATTGCTTACACAGAGCGTGGTGTTTTAGAAACTCGTGGCAACTTGGAAAATTATTACAATTTCATTCCATTTTAGAAAATAATACTGATTTTTGTATCCACTTAATATTTAGGGAGAATGATGACTAGATGGAGCTGTCCATCAAAATATATGCTGATTTGAGAGGACAAATTAAAGGAAAGTCAATGTGAAGTGATTTAAATGCTTGGGTCAGAGACAGTCTTGAATGAAACTTTCATCACATGTACAACATGGGGTAGAAGCCGTGATAGGACCCTCTTCACCTATGTAAGATTGCATTAAACATTATTGTATTTTTTTTGAAGGTTAGAATGTATTACATTCAACATTACTTGAACACTGGAACATGTTGGTTCATATCTAGTAAGACCAGTCTGGTTATAAGCAGAACTTTTAGGTTCAAATGCTCATCTAAACTCCTGTCCCCCTGTGTTTTTAGCAGCACCCTTTAATTTTTTGCTTTCAAAACTTCAACACTTGATTCTTTGGGTTGCTTCCTGGGGAATTGAATCAGAAAGAGAGTCCGGTTTACATCCTCACATCTGATCTGCAGACACCTTTAGAGTTTCAGTTTATGCTGCTAACATGCTTCATGTCAAGTTCGGATCAAGCTTTCTGATCGACAGCACAAAAATGTGTCATTTGAAGAAAAGAGAGAAGAATTAATTGTGACTCCATTCATCTGTATGTATTATTTCCATCCTGGCCTCCCAGTGATAGAAGATTATCCTCATATAAAGAAAAAATAACACATCTGTTAGTTTAAGAGAAATGAATTCTAATTTGGCGTTAGGCATTTAGGTTTGCGATGTCTAATGACACAGAGAAATCAAATGCCCAGGTGGAGACCCCTATTAACATCTCCCATGACCCCCTAAGGGCTTTGGATTTTCATGGGTAGTAGGTCAGATGTGGCTACATCTGATGTAGGTGAGGCTTGCTCTCTGAGACCCCCATTTAAGGCTTAGAGTTTTCTCCCAGGTGAGAATCCCATCTAGTGAGATAAACTGTAACTCTCCTGGGACACAGGAGGAGTCCATAAATCCATCCACTGAAGACACTGCATCCTTTAGAGAGGGTAGTATCATAGTGGATGTAATTGTTATATGATTTAAGTTCTCAATCTGTACAGAATCCTGGGACCATTTCATGTCATGTCAGAAGATGGCATTTCTCTAGTAGGCTTGGCCCCTCATCTTGATGCTGGTGGATTATAATAAATTTTCCCTAGATTCTTCCATTTTCTCCCTTCATCCTTTTATTTTTCTCCTCTTCCCTAAACATTTGTTGAAGACCTCTTGCACAGGCACAGTGCTAGGGGAAACACATAAAGAACAAAGCACGTCCCCTTAGGGAGCTCACAGTCTAGTAGAGAAGGGAGGGGGATGAACAAACAGATAAATGACCACTGCATGAATGCTAAGTGCTACAACAGAAGCACTCATAAAGAAAGGGAAAACCCAAAAAAGAGCATAGGTACCCCCAGGTGAGGGGAGGATCAGGGAAGTCTTCCTGGAGAAGGTAACCACTGAGCTGGGTGTTCTAAGGTAGATGAGTTAGAGCTTTTGAGGGAATAGCATGAGTGTGAAACAGAAGAGTGAGTTCAGAGCCCATTCGTCCTTAGATGGTGTTCATTCTTACGGATGCCATATATTTCTGTGAGTCTCTCTATTCCCCTGGTTAAGAAACACCTAAAAAAATATTGCAGTTAAGATAGGATTCTTCTTCAGAGTAGGATTTTCCCAGCTCTTTGGGAAAGAGGTTTGAATAACTCATTTGTTTCCAGTGCGAACTGATCTGCTTGTTTATCCTTTAAACAGCTAGAGAAAGGTGGAGGTTCCAGACTCCTTGCAAACACAAACCATCTGCAGGTAATAACAGTGTTAGGTTAACAGCACTGTCACATCTTCTATTTCAGGAAGGATTGAAGTGGCTCTTCCTGGATATTTATTTGTGAGGCTTCAGTTCTAGGAGATTTTATTCTTTGCACATTTCACCAATTTTCTTTTGTTCCTAGTAGAGGAAGCTTCTTAGAAAGATAAAGCAGTGGACATGTTCCTTTTAAAGTCTTTGGCATTCTGAGGATCCTTCTTTACTGCCTCATGTTGGTCTTGACTTTATTTCCTATAGAATTGCCTCAAACAACATTATTTTAATAGGTGGAGTGCATGGATGGCTACCCTTGGGTGATTTTGGGGTGCTACAAAGACCCCTGTACTCTAAATATCTCTCTCACATAAAATTTATCTGAAAATCTACAATTATAAATCCACTCTTGAAGCCTATTTGGTTGTTTTTAAAAAATCTAAGTAATTTTTAGCCTTCCCTTGTACCTTAACTAAGCAGGTATCAGATATTGGCTTTTTACTAAGGTAAGCATTGAGCTCCAGGAAGAGAAAGAGGGAGGGAAAAAAACAAGATAAAGAACAGCTTAGTCTAGGAACCGCTTTGTGTTACACGGGGAGGTCATTATAACATCAGCAGCATTATTCAACACAGCTTGTCACCTGACATCTGTTTACCTGAGGAGATTGCTGTGGGTTAATTCTAGGAGCTTCCTTATCACATTAATGACCTATATTATTGACAGTCCATTCTGTCTTGAGAGATTGTCTATGATAATTTGCAAAGTAAATAAACGAAATCTTTGCCTTAATTAGCATTCCTCTGAGAAGGGAGCAAGATAGTTAATATTGACTGGTATTTCCAGTCTATTTTATACCTCTTTTGTATCTTTTTGGATTGAACACAGTACTGCTCACGTAATAGGTGCCAAATAAACACTTTTTAGAAGTCAGTATATATATATATATATTTGAGGCTCTTAATCACCACTGAATAGAATACTAACCTAATACCTGGTTAAAGTAAAAACAAGCAGGCAAAGTAACTTAATATGTCATTATTATAGTTTTATTTTGAAATAGTTTAATATTCTCAAGAGGTTGTAGAAACAGTAGGGTTTCTGTGTACCCTTCCTCCAACCATAGTATTGTATGTTACATAGCTGTAGGTCATTGTCAAAAACCAGGAAGCTGATGTCGCCACAACACTGTAATCA